CAAACCAGCATCTGCCATCAGTGCTGTGGTGTACACAGTAAAAACCATATGGTCTACAGGTCTTAGGCTCAGGCAGATGGTTATCCCCACTTCCCACCACAGAGCCAGAGAAGTCAGTGCCTGGTTGTGGCCTGTGTCACCAATTACACTGGGCCAACCTTCTGTACCCCTCTTGCTCAACTAGCCTATGTCTATTTATGACACTTGTCTACATGGAAAATGGAATGAATGTTCAAGCAATTTTGTGGTGTAGAACTACCTTTCCCCTCTGCATTAGTTGCATAGCCAACTTCTTCTGATTTAATCCCAGGATTAGCAAATGAGAATTTTCAGCATCAGTCAGCTGGGTCCAAGCATCATTTTAGTTGAAATGATAGCCAGTCCATTAACTGTAACATCTCCTAGTTACTATTTGCATTGTAAGCTGTAGTTTCGATCACAACTCCTGCATTACAAAAAGGTGAACCCGTCATCACAGATCAGTTATTGAATGAATTAGAGTTCTTCACTGTCTTAAAAGTAGACAGGTTCAAACAAAAAATGCAAATACAGAAAAAAAAAAAAGTTGGTGAGAAATGTGTCTTTGTGCACTCTCAGATGGAGAGAGGCCACAAAACTGTGGCTCATTTGAAGATAACTGATCCTTTCGAGTGTAAGGGGAACTCTATGTTTGCCTCAACAACCACTTTGAAGGCACACTTACATGACACGGAAGGGAATTGTGTAAACAGGTATTTTAATATCAAGGCCATATTTATATCAAGGGTGTATCAATGGTATATTTAATACCTGTTTAAAAACAGGTCTTTTAATATCAAGTATATTTTTTAAATGTTACATGCAGGCAGGAATTCAAGGTTTAAACCAGCAACTGGAAACATTGATTAGTGTTGGGCTTAACCACCTCCTTCAGGTCTTAAACAGGTTAGACATGAAGTGGTGCCCACATATTACCTGTTTGAGAACATGCAAATCACCGGTATTGATATTATAAAATGCCAGACTTAGAAGAGGAAACAGTTTTCTTCCATTTAATTTGACCCAAACCTGAAGACAAAACTGCCTGCTGAATCACTCACAATCAACCAGAACAAGATTCGTGATTCCAAGGCAGTTTTATGCAAGATTTCTCAATGTCGAGAAGGAAAAAATTTTTTTAAAAAATGAGATTTCTTTTCTACAGTTTCCATTTCTTTAATGTTTGTCACCAATATATCAATATGTGAAAATATTGTACAGCATTTGACCTTGATATTAAAATTATTTGGAGATCAAAAGCAAGTGCTAAGAATAACCAATGTTTTTATAAAGCCCATAGTAGGAGATTCCTATATTACTAGCACCTCTCAGTGGAGGCAGTCCTGAACCAAAATCTCAGGTCCACACAACAGAGTAAGAAAGGAAAACAAACAAACAAGGAGCTAAGGTACTGTTTCAGATCTAAGAGCTAGGGCTACCAGGAATGTTCCTGGTTCTGCAAAAAACTTGTGTGTTTGAATGTTAGATACTCTTAACTCTACAGGAAGAAGGAAAAAAGGAAAAAAACAAACAAGCAAACAACAACCATCAACCTTCTTTAGTCTGAAAGTGAATACTAAAGTCAGCTTGCCATGTAAATGAAATGAGGGAACCCCAGGGAACAAAATCTCAACAACATACCGCTATCTTTAGGTAAACATTTGTTTGCAATATCTTTAAAAAAAAAATACTGTCAACTACAGTGATTGACGATTTCACCCCATTTATCACTGACAACTAGAATTATTTTTTCAGCTGTGGATCATGTTAATTGTGGAAGCTAATAGAGAGGAATGTGAGGTAAATGGTCTCAGTACCTTTAGTATGTGTGATGACTTTACCAGACTTGCAGTACTGTATTTACTGTAACCAAAAGGTCATGCTCTGTATTTTAATGACAAACAATGAACTTTTCTGCATCAGTCACACTCCTGCAAATCATGCATAAAAATAATAAGTTTTTGCAAAGGCAATTAGCATTTGGGAATTTTTATTGGTTTGTTTGTTTTGCTTGTTTGTTAATGTTAGTTTCATATACTTGAAGGAAGGCTTTCAGGCTTTCAGCTTCAACCAACATAGAAATAAACCATGGAGGATTCAAACTGTCTCATTGGCAAGAAAGCAATTTAGTAAAGACAGACTAATGCTGTTATAATTTACATTATTAAGTGCTCATTTCTTATCTGTGGGAAGATAAATACTGAGGCAATGATGAGACTACATTGTTCACTGTTAAACAAAAAAGCATTTTCCAAGTTACTGCCATTTAATCGATGTTAATTCTAAATGATATAATCTAATTCATGTCCTGAATCTCTACATCTTCCTAAGACACCACACATGTGAATGCTATAATAAAATAATTCTGACATAGTTCTGCTAATAGACATTTGTTGTTAGAAGCATTAAAACTACATGATTTTGATACTGGCAGAAATGTAGTCTACGAATGTTATACAATAGTACTACATAGAAGTTTAAAAAATGGAATCTACTCATAATTTGGAGCATAGTCTTCTCTGAGGATATGCTATCAAACATTATAGCACACAGTCATCTATGAGATGTATGTTAACCTTTTGTTTCAAAAAATAGCAAGCTGTGTATTAGTGGAAAATAGGTATGTGAAATGTGGAAATGAGATAGGGTGACACTGGAAAGGAAATGCTGTTTTAGCATGTGCTAACAGAGTGCAGAATGCATTCATTTCTATAATAGAAAAATTTTAAAGTGACAGCCTTAACACACAGCAGGAATTGTTGCTTTAAAGGGACTGTGTCAAAGTTGACAAGCCCAAAATGTAACCTACCATAAAATTAAACTTTTTACGAAATGCCCTTTTGATCTTGAAAAATCTATCAACCTTCCAAATCCAAGACTGTCACATTGTTAAAATACCAAATACTTTGCTGTGTGATTGGCCATTAAAACTTGGTTTGGTTTTGCAGCATGTATATGCAAGTCATGCTTTTGCTCTCTCCTCCACAGTGTCTTTGGGACTGTGCAAGATATTAATAGAATCCAGTACTGGATCTTTTGTTTGGGATTGCCATGATTTAGCATTTCAGTTAGCAATAATTTATAACAAAGCTATAATACGAGACTTCTGTACTCCAACAGTAAATGTCTCCTTAGAAAGAGGGCAGTTCTTCATGTATGGAAGCTGCCAAACCACAAAAGGATTTATTTTTATCTTGTTTTACTTAATACATGCAAATTCCTTCCACGGCACACTAAAATGCAATATATTATAGTTACATGGCATAGTAATAAAAACGAACAATAGCATTCGCTGCTTCAAGGTGACAGATATAAAAAGAGTGCTGTGATTCCTGGTTTTATTTTTTCTCCGTTTTAGCTCACAATCTAATAGTGAGAATTGAGAAAATTAATTGTGATTTGCTTTCTTCATGTTGCATACAAGTATAATAGAAAGATACAACATGCATCTATCTTACTAGCATTTGGGCAGGTTCTCAAATACATGTATAGAGTTTTCATACAAGAAGAAATATTTCTGTGTTTAGAAGTTAACTATATATCAGTTTTTCTTCACAATTATTCTTCTTACCAAAACCACGCTATTGTCAGACAGTAAGGCCCTCCATTCCCATAATACTAGAATGGCTGAGCATAGGTTACCAGTCATCCTTTTAACACCTTCTGTTAACACCTTCTTTTTCTGTAGTAATCCCAAACCAGCATAGGACTGTTTGCTATGCAGTCTTGTTGGGTTTACTGTAAATCAGACAAACAGAAGATTAAAATCGGTTCCTTCTGTTCTCCCCACCTTATTGCCACAGGTAATTGGAGCTGCACAGACTACTATTAACACCAGTATTCAGATTGGAATATCTGCCTTTTCTAGACAGTTTCAGTGATTCAAAAATGAAGGCATATTTGAGACATCATAAATGGAAGTGCTCAGCATGTTTGATATACAAACACTCACTCCACAAATGAGGCTGTCCTGAATATATTTCATCAAAACCCACTAGAACTCATTTTCCCATGAAATCTGGTGAATGAACAAGCAGTATAGACAACATATTTTGGCTTCTATAAATACAGCTGTGATAAAATTTAAAATATATTAAAAGCAGCTAGCATTAAGTATAGATGTCTCATAACTAGTTCCATTAGCCTTGATCTTCAGTCCAACCCACACAATAACGTTAGTCAGTTCACCCATGAGAGCTGAGCAGGGTAATGATTTTTTTCAGTACCTTTACCCAACAGATCTCAGCAGCCCTACTTGATTTCAGGGCTCTTTTTCAACTGCAAATACTGAAAAGGGAATGGTTTCTGTTTTCATGTAGGATACGGGACTCTCTCAACTTTGTGTTAACCTAGGCCCTGGATGACTAACCCTACAGCTGACAGAAACAGATGTTTTTATTTGTTTGAACTATTAGGTCAAAGGGCTAATGAGCTAATGAAAATTCTTTAAAGAGCTATCAAATGAGGCATGATTAGCAGATTTTCAGTTCCTATTTATATAACAAAAAAGACTGAAGAAAATGTTCTGAGTTTACACATCTTTCATTTCCGTCCTGGTGTCAGGTTAAGAGGCAGATTTAAAATAATAAAATAAAAAAAAGCATACCTCAGGAGTTGAATCAGAAATCTTCAGTCCAGCTCAGCAGTACTGTGTTACAACTTGCGCTGTAAGTGTTTTTTCTTCTCAAACAGTGATAGCATAGCATAGAGTTTTCTCAGCAACTTTTTGTTTTTTCCCGTAGTATTTTACTTTGCTCAACTTCTGCAGCATCTTTTTTTTTTTTTTTTTTTTTAATATGTACTATGCCATGCCATTTTATTTAAAACTATTTTCTAGTCACATAAACATGTTCATTGGTTTACCATTATGGAATAATCACATAAATATTATTCCAGTTTCTGTTCCAGCAAAAAAATCTGCAATATCTTTCAGGTATATTTTCCAAGTAACACCATCTTGCTTTGGAAATAAATCAGCCAACTTTCAGGGGTTTCAATTTTTTATATATACAGAAATGTGTAGGTATGTATAACTTAGCAATGATTATGCAGTAATAATTTGTTTTCATCTAAGAGTAAATAAGTTACTTTGAAGATTCAATATTGAGGTAATACACCATGGTCTTAGATTTGTTTACTACTCAAGAAATCCAAACTTAGCAACTCAATTCTACACAGTGTTTATTTTCTTTTCTTTTTTTTTTTCTTTCATACTTTTTCTTTTTTTTTTTTTCTTTTTTTATTTTTTTGGGGGATAGTGGAAATCATGTATAAATCACAAACAGTACAAGTTCCTCATGTCTATCAGTTACCCACCTGAATGGGTCAACTTTTGTGTAAAGACACTGTATTTTTAGTATAAAGTCAAGATAATATGGCAGTTAACTAATACTCTTAACTACAGTAAAGATACAAACTTTTGTAATATAAATTAATTGCCATTACAAAAAGGCAACTGTATTAACTAATACAGTACAAAAATCTGCAACTCTATAAATATAATGAAATGCAAGAAGTTAAATGAAATAATACATCACAGATTTTTGTACAGAGGCAAGCTAAGATACACATGGAACATTATATATCAAGAAATAATATCAAAACGCACTAAGTTCTAACTTTTTTTTTTCCCAATACAAATGCTAGAAGTACAAGTACAGGACACAACATGGAAGCAGTAAGATTACCAGCTCAGAGTGGGTAGACAAAGAAGTCTTATTGACAAGTTGTAAAGCATTAGACAGCAGACAGAGGCTTGTCAAAACCAGCTGTTGTTGGATACTGATTGATAATGTTTTCATTCTGACGGCTGAGACGCTGCAGACAGCCACAGGTCTGAGAAGAAGCCCAATGTGGGCACATCCACGTACACACACACACACATACGCACACAAAGTAATTTAACAGATGTCTAAAGAACATTAAAGCACGGTATCTTTTTTAAAAAGACAATGTTCACTCCTTAATGAACTTGCATGGAAAGTAGAGCCTAGTGCCCAAGTTTATTTCATCTAAATGATGAACACATGTGAAAAGATTAAAAAATAATAATAAGATTGGTCATCCGAATAAAAATTGCATGGTGCTTACATATTCTACCATAGCCAGAGTATTCAAAAACACTTTAGACAAGGAAGTGTGATGTTGTGAGCCACTATGAGCATTTTTAATCCCTCCATAAAAAGGTGAAGGGGTTTATAGACATTAAAAAGGTACATATCCATTAAGTCCATCCACAACACAAAACCACAGAAGAACTACATTCAAAGTAAAGTTAATTGTTGGTCTTAGCCTTAAGCAATTATGAGGTATTGTTTCAACCTGTGGTGAGGAATGATCACTGTGTTAGTAAGAAAACACGTATTCAAAATCATTGTGAAAAATAAATCACTGTTCCTATGCAACTGGTATTTTTCTAAAGAAAATGCATTGAGCATCAAAATGTCCTAGTCTGACTGCACCTTGGCACATGCCAAAGCCATGTTCTCATTGACTAGTTGGTCCTTTTTGATGTTACTTGGGTAGCACCTTCCAACAGTGCATAGTTGGGAAATCATGACCAAAATAGAAAGTCAGGAACTCAAAGTCTTTGGACCAGAAACACTGATGGTACAAATAAGTACAGTTCCAAGAATGCAATAGAGTTGGGATTATTTTAACTTTTTGTACTTTTTGGTCCATAACTTTAATATGAGAAAGAAAGGGGGAAACAGTAAAAAGATTTAATTTGTCATCTGCTAATGCTCAATGAAAAAACAGTAAAAGCTCTGAATCCCTCTTTTTACCTCCCCAAACTGCCTACATTCTCTGGGAAATAATCTCTTGCTCCTCTTCACTATCTTTTATTTTTCATTGTGCCTAACCAGGAGAGAAATCTGGAGACCTTGTGGAAATCTGGGGACTCTGTAACCTCTAAACTCACATAAGCTAAGAGAGAGAGTGGAGCTGCACATCAGATCTCACTCCTCTACAAATTCAGGGAAAGGAGACTCTGTTGCCTACACACAAGAAACTAATGGGCAACTGGGTCACTTCAATGGGGAGAGAGAGCTGGCACCGTCATTGTGATCCCCTTTATATTTTGAAATGAACAGTTCCAGTTCTTGGGTTTTTCCAAGAGTATGAGGAGTGAGACGATTGACCTGGCATGAAAAACAATGCAAAATGTCCTTCAGACTTTTGAGCAAAGCTTTCTGCCTATCCTGTCACAACATTAAACAAGTAGCTTACCAGTTTTCCCAGCTTCTTTCTGATAATAGGAAGTGAGTTAAAACAGTGATCTTTAGGCCATGCATTTGAGTAGAAACAGTTCTGAAGGAGCAAAGCAAGAAATCCATGGAAATAGAAAAGAAACAAAAACTATAAAAACATTTTGTTTAACAAAGAGTATAATTACAATAGAGAAATGGCTTTTATAAGCCTTAAAACTGATCCTTGCTATTTTCTTATTCTCAAATAAACTAGTGAAAAACTACAATAAACTTTAAACTTAAAAAATAAATGCTCAGAGTGGAAAGATATGGTGCTTAAAGCCCTGCAAAAGGAGCTAAGAGTTTCAAAACATAGCAGAATTGATGAGGAACCACTGATACATCACTACAGTTTATGTTTGCAGACACTCATGCACAAGGCACAACCTTCCAGGTGTGCACCAGTCAAGTGACTGATCTGCACATACCCTGTTGTGACTGACTTCATGGTGAACCAGCAACCTGGCATGTTTCTTTAACAGATAAAATCAGTTTATAAGATTTTAAAAGTCAACAAAAGTCAGCCAAAAAAACTGCAAACCCACAATGGGGAAAACTTGGAAAGAGGAAATATGCACTATGTTACTGGAACCAAATGGGATATTTCCAAATGTATTACAAATGTTGTTTCCAATGAATACTTTTTTGTCTTCTAAGTAACATGCAGCCCAGAGGAAGTTTGAAAGAACAAGTTATAATCCCTTGAAAAGAGAAGCTTACAGTACAAACACTGGAAGGCCCTTCATTTTGGTATAGATGCCTTCTTGGCACTGTTTCGATAACAGTAGCACGCTATGAGTGAGTGATAAAGGAAGCAATCCTTATTTAAAATTAGTTACAATTCTAACTAGTAGTAAAGTCTCCAAAGCTGAACTAATAGACATTTGCTTTGCTTCTCTGATCAAAAAATACTTTCAGTAAGAATTATTACTTTACCCAACTTCTGTATATTTTCTAAGAATATGGTTACTTAGGCCAACATTTTTATGTCACCTATTCTTCTCAAATACTGTTACCCGCACACATCTGTGTGCAAATTTATCTTTCAGGGAGAATTTCTCTTTCTTTTATTTTTCTTTCCAGCAAAATAATGTTTCTGCCCTAGACAAGGTTATGCAGTGACTTTAGGGGAGGAATCAACTAACACGTCGACTGTGTTTACATTTAGTAAAACTTCAGAATAACCTTTGCATTAACATGAAACTACTTGCTTTAAAGTATCATATTTAGGTTTTCATTGGCTGTGCTTTCCAGAATGCGGTGTCAGTAAACAAGCTAATACAAATTAGTCTCACAAATCCTTAAGACATGAGTTATTTTTAAAAAATAAGTAGAAGGTAGAATTCCTCATTTATAGACTATGTTATCCTTGTGCGTGCAAAATTTCCTGTCAAAGATGATGGCAATGCAAGAAAGCAACAAGCACTGTGCAGAACTAGTGGTAAACAAAGAGGAACTTCCTATTTCAGTAGTGTAGACAACTTTACTGGAAATAGTCATGTACCTGGTTCACAGAGTATTTATTTTAATAAAAGGACATTCTGCACTAACTATGTATGAACAACATATCACAGCATTGCCTTGATGCCACACCATAATTAAGCTGTGAGCAGAATGAACAGGTACAGTGATGCCTGGAGAACCACTCTTCTCTCTTGCATTTCACATTCTTGAAGGTTCGAAGTCTCTCTCCTCCAACAAGTTTATTAGAAGGGAGAAGCTGTCTTTTACTGCCTCCATATCATCCAAGGAGCAGGGTTTAAGAATCCAGCGTTTTCCCCGTGCAAGTGGCTCAAGTTCAAAGTATTTTTTGATCTATGAAGAGAAAAAAAAAAAAAAAAAAAAAAAAAAGAGAGAGAGAGACAAATGTATTAATACTATGAAAACTGATTTTCCCTCTCAACTAAAAATAAATAAATAAATACAAAAACCATCAGGAAAAAAATGTAAAAAATCAAGACACTAATTTTTAGAATTGTACCCACAGCTGTTCTTATAATACAGGTTATATGTTGTGACCTGAAAGTGTTTTCTTTAGGGGTGAATGACCTGCTTGGAAGCTACCGTTCCACCCATACACTTATCAGCATGGGAGGTCTGGGGAAGAATTATATGTACTTAAGGCAAAGAGCAAAGCACATGAAGTGTCTAAACAGCCAACATAACATAAAGAAATTCTAGTTAACATTCAACCTTTAATGCTAAAGCTGTAGGTTCTGTCAGAATATTATTAGTAAACACTTAAAATGCAGTGTTGTGTTTTTTTTTTATCAAATTACTATAACAACACAAATGAACTGTTAAAAATATACAAAATTTAAACACTGTATTCAAGATAAGCTAAAGAGTGTTTCTTAATGACTTACAGAAAAATAATAATTCTTCCAAAATCAGTTAGTTTTTAAAAATTCAATGTTTAATTTCAACATCTTCATCATGGACCAGTAGCATATTAATGTGATTAGAATAATAATAATAAATGTGGGACATGATGTTTTTTTGTGATGATCTTCATTCAAAATCCAGCACGTTCTATCAGCCTTCAGCTGCTTACTAACTATACATAATAATGCCTATAAAGAAGGAAGGCTTTAAATTAAATGAATTCAATTTTTATTTCTGCAGCAACCATGGAGGCAGCTTAAGATGCAATATAGAATGGCAGGTTTTAGGGTCATAATAAGCCTTGAAAAAATATACTGAGGAAGGTGCAGATTCTTGGAAAGACCTGTTGTTACTGACACTAATTACACTGACTATCAAGTTAGAAACACAGACCCACAGGAAGACTGTCAAATAAAATATTTGAATTTATTAGTATTCTCTACTCACTTTTCAAATCAGCAAGTAGTGTATTGAAACATATTTTTGATCCTATTAATTCCTGTTAGAAAAAGACGGCAGCTTGAAGGTCATGTTGGTCAATATATTAACCTTAAGCTGTTGTCTTCAGCCTTTAATAATATTTGATCCAAAAGTCTACTCATTTCTGACTTGTCAGAGATTTTAAATCCAAAATCATATCCATCAGTACTTGCTGTTGTCAACACACCACCAGAAATATTTAGTCCTGACTTAGTTTGCACATTCTTGTTCTGTATAATTCTTGCCAAATATTCTTAATTCTCTTCTATCACAGACTGAGCCACAAGTATGCACAACAATAGGAACAGTTACTTGTATTCTGGTAGGCAGTTGAGGCCCTAGACAGGCAACTGAAGCCAAACTGTGAGAAGCTCCGAGTGCAGGGGAATAAAACCCTGCAACATCTCTATACAGCTCTGTATAGTGTCTACACAACAGTTTTATTTATCTAATAATGTATTCTAACGGAAAAAAATTGAATGTGGTTGTATCAACTCACATAAATCAGAATTCAACTGTGACAATGTGTCAGGAAGGTTTCTCATTTTCTAGTAAAGATTTTAGAGCAGAGCTTCTCATAAAAAAAAAAAAAAAAAAAATAATAATCAGAAAGAGTGATCTGGTTTTGAGAGCAGAACTTCTGCTTCCCCCAGGTAAGATATAGGTGAAGACTTTAAAAATCTATTTCTAACAAAGCAAAATTGTATCAGTAACAACCTGCAAACATGTAGAAAATAAAGCACAGTAATAGACGTTTAGTTCACATCAAATATATTTCAAAAAGCAAACACCTGTCTGCAACAACCAGTATTTTAACACCAACTTTTTGGCATTGCTGTCATAGTGCCATATTAATAACTGATATGTTAGCATGGTTACATGTGATCAGAATATAGATATTAATCTCTATAAGGGATATACTGCAATGCTTCCTGCAGGTGAAGTGACACCAAACTGAATTTACTCCCATTAAAGTACCGAAGGAGCAGAATAAGAAAGCTCTCTTGCCTCTCTCACTAACAGCCACTTTGACTGCTAAACAAGGGGAGAAAGTAAAAGCGGCACAGAAACATAACAAAGCAAGGTGTCAGCGCGGCTAGCTGATGCAGTGGCCTGCTGGTGTTAAGCTGACAAATATGGCTGAGTAACTTGAGATGTTTCAGACCCATAACCCGGAGGATGTCCACCACACCCCCTCTACTGGAAGACTATTGCCATCAGTCCCTTGAGCTTAATGAAGTCTGTCCACAATCTTATTTACATATCCTCTTGAATTAAGGCTGTGCCACGTGAGGAAATGATGAGGAAAAGGTAATTACATTTTAATGACAGCACTTGGGTTTAAAAGCATTAAAGCATCTAGGAATGCATACAAAAGGAAATGATGGCAGTAAGCAGACTTGCACTGAATCTTGTGTGTTCATGAGCAAATACAACACTGCTTACCAAGGCAGCTTCTAGCCAACAAAAACACAATGACTCCAAGCTATATTTCCGTGCCTGCAGACTCCAAGATATAATTTCTATTGCAGTAGTAAAACAGCAGGAACTGATTTAGTACAACAATTTTTGAAGAGACATTTTTGATTTGGATGCCCGCTGTTGACTAAAATCTATTTATTTATTTTTTTACTATGTCTTGGTGTGTAATCAAGATGTTAACAAAATCAGTGATGTGCTGTCATCATTTTCCACCCCTTAGAATCAGTTCAGAGTCTCTGCATTAACAGATATGAAATTAAAATGCTTAGTAAGTGGTGGCTTTTGAAATGAGAAGTTTTGATAATGGCATGAAGGCAAAACTGCTGGTATTCATAAGTAACACCTATTTTTTTCGTACCTACAGAGACCAAGGATTTGCTAGGTGACTTGTCCCTAATGGAAATACCGAAAAATAACACCAATCAGCTTACAAATAGTAACAAAACCAGAAAGTAGCACAGAAGGATCTTCCACAAGCCAAGGGACATTTTGTGGTATGTTACTGTATTTCCTCCTTTAAACTTTTACTAAAGCCCAGAGCTCTGCAAACAGGCTCTATTATTTTGAAACTCCCAGGAAGAAGTTTGCAGGCACAAATATTTTTCCCTGCAATGTACTGCAATTTCTCCCCCCACTCAGAAGATGTCATTCAGTTCTAAAAACAAGTTGTTTTCAGACTTGAAAAGGAACCCTTTGTTACATGTAAGAGATAAAACTACACAAAAATAGACCAGCACAATCGGATGCCTGACACTGTTTACACCGTTGAGTTTTCCACTGGCACGCTCTTAGCTCTCAATCCACTTTTCTTTCGGTCCTCTCTCTGTAGCTGCTTTCTGCCTGGATGGCCATCATTCACACTTGTTCCATACCAGATTTCCTAGGAGGATGCATGCTAATCATCAAAATGTCCAAAGGAAGTTAAAATTCTCTGACTACTCATCTCAGTAGCCCCTGCATAACCAGATAAGCAGCAGTAACTATTTTACAGCTCCTTCAAGAGCACAAGTACAAAAGGGGGCAGTTATTAAGAGAAGCTTTTTGTCTTGCTCTCTTGCATAACTGATGAAAAGCTTTCTGCCTACTCATGGATGCCGAAGCAAAACATTTAAGACTCAGACACGCTTCAGATGTCTGACACATCAGACATGCATTTACATACTGGCTTTGCATTTTTAAGTGTTTACTTTGGGACTGCTAATTTTTTAAGACATAACCTTACAAGAAAATACAATCAATTAAATCCACATAATTTCAAGACTCCTTTACTACTATTTTACAGGATTTCACTGTGTGTCTTGACTCCACATGGGGCCTTGTTTTATAGAGAAGCTGACATTGTATTTATGCCACATACTGAAGTCAATAAAATCTAACAATACACGTTTGCAATTATTCCCACTCTTCCCACACTCCACCTTCTAAGTCCTATTCTGCTGGCACAATACGCTAAGCATATGGTTATCAAATGTTGCTTAACCTATGTGCTGGAAAAGTCAAGACACAATAAAAGGATTGATGCCCAGAACCTCAGCTGGGGTAAATTAGCACAGCAGCGTGGAACTGATGTTACTAAATTGATCTACGTAAGCTGCCTAACCAGTCCCTGCTGAAAGCTTTTATATGTTCTATTACTGAACCTCATCTAGCCAGTTCACAACACAAGACATCCAGGGAAACTTAGATACTGTATGAATACATGAATATACAGTCAATTGTATCTATTACTGGAGATGAAAAAAGCTGCTTGAAAGCATTATTTTTTGTCTGAATTCCCAACTTTAATTCTGAAGTTCATCAGTACAAAAAGCCTTCCACTCTAATCTGTTGTAAACTAATGCAAGATGCAGCCAGTCACTTATCAGGCTGTATTTGGAGAATTTAATGATATATATTTTTTTTTTCATCCATTGCTGCTTTATTGAACAATTGTACTGCGAATAATGAATTGTAATAATGTGTGTACATTATAACTAATCAAAAGCTGCAGGGTTATGTCAGTGACCCCACTAGTCTGAATTTTTCAAAGACTTTTACAGGATTGAGCAAGCACTCCTACAACTGGTGGAGGAATTAATTAAACTAAAATTACCTAACTTGCTGAATCCATATACTAGCTACAAGGACTGGTTCATTCATCTCAAATCTGCATGGACAAGAATTGCAGCAGTAGTAGGACATTGGAGCTCCCCATATTGACACTGTAAATATTTCATTGGGCTGTGATGCTGAGGTTACATTTTCAGACATCACAAAAGCCTACCTTTTAGAGCAACTGTTTAGAAAACCCACAAGAGAGAGGTAATTTTGAGAGCTGAGTCCACGAACAACACAAGAGCAGCCTGTAACAGTGACCAAACAGGTTCAAATGCAATACCTTTGGAGAAGAGAAAAGGCCAAAAAAGCCCATCACATAGCATTAAGTTTTAAAAAGGGAAACTACATAAAATGAGTAACTTAAAGAAAAT